TGACTAGATCGAGAGGAGAGTATGTGAAAAAATGCTAATATATTTTGAAAGAGGAGAGTATGTTTACTGTTGATTCTATTTGCGTTAAAAGGAAGTATGTTGGCATCCCGTCTAGCCTCCGCGGTTTTTCACGGTTTCCGCGGAACTGATAAGAGATAACAACTTGGTGTCTTCAACAAAGTTGTAGTACTCGAGGTCTTCTACAACATCTATCTCTTATCTCTTATCAGTTGCGCGCAAATCGCGCACATAAAAAAGCAAATTTTATATAGAACTTTTTTTTTCTTATCATTTTTCGCACTTTTCGCAGAACTGATAAGAGATAAGAGATATTTGACTTCAGCAATGTTATAGAAGACCTCGAGTGCTACAACTTTGCCGAAGACACCAAGTTGTTATCTCTTATCAGTTCCGCGGAAACCGTGGAAAACCGCGAGGACCCGCCAAAAATGAACATACTCGCCTTTAACCATTTTTGAGTCGAAAGAAACTTACTCTTCTCTTTCATAACAAAGTCAGATGAACTTACTCTCCTCTCGATCTAGTCAATAGAAATGTGGATCGTCTTTCCCACTTTTGGTCCACACAGCTATTGTGTGTACGATGGACCATCGTCATACTTATATGCTGTGTACGGTGTGGTGTGTGTGTGTGTGTGTGCATTTTCTTTTTGTTCTGTTCTGTTCTTTTTGGTTCCCGTATTACCAAACTATTCCACTCGACGCTGGCATAAGCAGATTGATTCACACGACCAGCTCCAATCGAATAACAGTGCCACTCGCATCAGATATCTAATATTCAACATGAATTGAACTATGAACGTGGACTGCCGTCTTCATCATCGCCACCGTTGCTGCCATCGCGCTGCCGTAAAAGTGCTTGAGCATAAAGCATTTTACACGATTCGATTCTCGAGCGCTAAGGGCATGGATAGATTTGTTCGGAGAATTTCTACAATCTTCGTCTTTGGATATTTACGACTTGAGCATCTCTATTGAGATGAGAAGACTGCACAAGCACTTGGCTCCCTAATAAGTCAATTTCAAACTAAACGATCACTTAACGATTTTTAATTTTCCATTTTTGACCCAACCATATTTTGTGCCATTGCCATTTGCCATTGGGTTTCGAACGACGAGCAAAATAGTCGAAAATCAATTTCGGAGCTGTGTGCATGCGTTTCAATGGTTTGTAGTTGGCTCATTGGGCAATTTTCATACTGCATGGATGGTTGGATGATTGTGTATCGTTGAGTTTGTTTCGGGGAACGAAAGGGACGGGGAGAGAGCGACTAAAAAAACTCCAAGGGATTGCTCATAAAACACGACTTTCATATTCATCAAAAGACATTTTCTCGCTTTTCACGAGTCACCAACGGCATACAAATCTTTACACACAGCCATAGCATAAAATGGAAAATAAAGCCAGAATAAAAGAGACTTCAGTTGCTTTTTTTTCTTCTCTCCACTCTCTTTATACGCTCTCTTCTCTTGCCGTCGTCGCATCTTTGGATCTACTTCATTTTCGGTGCTATGCTTTGCCACGCTATGCTTATGTGTGTATACCGTACCGCACTCATTTCACACACAGAGCATAGAACGAATATTCTCATACGAGAGCAGCAGCAGCAGCAGCAGCAGCGGCGGCAACGCTACATGAACACACAACGAGAAGCATAACAACAACAACAACAACAACAGTCAAATCAACGAACACTCTGTGTTTTTTATGTGTGCTCTTTTTTTTCCATGGAATATCCAAATGGCAATATAAGCAGCAACCGAATAGCAACAACAAATCCAACACAAGCAGCCACGGTACGAATAAAGCAAGCGAATCGAGTCGTGTGTATGTGCGTTGCGTTCGTTTCGTCTCTGTCTTTAGTACGTGCGGCACGGCAGCAGTGGCAGCAGCGGCAACAGCTACAGCAGTGTATGTTTGGTACTGCTGTTTATACGTACACACTCGATGATATTTTACTCTGTCGCACATCCGGCAAATGGATATCTGTCCGTGTGCTGCCGTCGTTTATTTGTCTCGCTTCATTATTTGTTTGGCTGTTACAACATTACGCACTGCTCATACCTGAAACTTACAGCGCTATCGTATGGCTAGTCTTTATCGCCACGGTTCACTATGCATCATTGGTCATTTTCGACGTTTTTCAAAAATTTCCAAAACAATCCAATGAATTTGATACAATTCAAATGGAATTCACATATTGACAAACAAATTGCTCGATTTTCAAACGCTCAAAACATAGTTGAACACATTGCGCGACCATACCCTGTCAATGCTACCGATGGGCTAAAGATTTTCGGTCGGAAAACGCTGTAAATGTTCAGTACGACAAGAACAGAGCAGCACACAGCACCGAACGCAACGCATGCACAACACATTCGTTTCGGCCGGAGAGTGTGTTCGTCGCTTGTGAATGAGAAAGAGAAACGGCTATAATTCGAATCGTGTCACCCGAGTTCACCGGTCCGATTGATGCCGAACGTGTACACCAAACAGTATGTACGACGAAACCGTACCGTCGCGTCGTTTTTCATCAAAAATAAAAAAATTTGTTGTTTAGTATGGTGATTTCTGTATGAGAAACATTCAAAAGAAATGTGAGAATTTCTTGTTGTATTTTTGCTTGAATTTTTTTTTTCTGTTGGTGTGATTGGGATACAGTGATTTTCAAAACTGTATGTGCAACAAAGCTAAAGTGTGTAAATTTTGTGTTGGACACGAATGATTTTTCTGTTTTTTTTTCATTTTCAAAAAGAAACGAATGATTTAGTTTTCGTTTTATTTATGTAAACTGAATCAAATGTGTACGGAACAGAGGGGAAAAAGTGAAGTGTAGAGCAACAGAGAGCGAAAAAAAACCACTCACATACATTCTAGTCATAGTCGAAGCAAAAGAACCACATTCGATGAGAAAACAAGCAAAATGCATCAAACGATACCGAGAGAGGTGCTTTGAATGAAATGAAATGAAGTGCATAATTGGAATTCGGAAGCGAATGTTTTCGTTGTTGTTTTTTTCCTCGGTGTAAACTAAAACCGAATCAAACAACAATTTTTTTTTTTGTCGAAAGAAATGGTGAATATTTATATTTATACAGAGTTTCGTGATGAATTCAAATGATTTTAACCCGGATAATGATCGAGAACTGACGTTTTCTACACACTCATTAATTCTCGCTGCCAGTGCTGGTGATATTAATTAGTCGCCTATTATTATTGTGAGCGTAACAGCTCCCATCAAAATAATATATACGTATATACATATATGCTGTAATATATAATATAAAGTAAACATTGGATGGCAGCGTTTCAGTGTAGCAAATAATGTAACATAATTTTTTTTAGTGAGGTTTTGTTTCAATTCATTCATCGAGGAAACAAAGAAGAGAAAAAAAAAAGAATACGATGAAAGAAAAAAAATTTAAATGGAAATCATACGGAATTAGATGAATATATGAGAAAGAGAGCGAGCATTATGTTTCTGATCGTTAATTGATTAATTCGAAGTAAAAAAAAGCGGAGCTGCGAACGCGCGGAATGAATGAAGCGATATGTGAACATATATATCTGTATGAAAGAAACGAATGAAAGAAAGAACGAAAGGAAAAAAAACAACGCATACACACGGACCGAGAGCGAGAGAAGAATCTGTTGTTTCAGCAGAGATTCGCTTAAATGGAAAGATTTATTATCCAAAGCCAAATCGAAAGGACTTTAACAAGGAGCATCAGCAACAACAACGACACCACAGAAAGCGAATCAGTATAGTGTTTTGTGTATAGTCTCTCTTTTGCCTGTTTCATATTGTTTGTTTTATATACGGAGCTCCTTTAACACCTCTTCTCTTCTTCTTCTTCTTCTTCTTCTTCTTCTTCTTCTTCTGCTTGGTGTGTGTGTGTGTGTGTTTTTTTTCCTCTTTTATTCTGGTTGCGTTCTCAAAGCCTGCCATCCGTTTCATCGTTGTCGCAATCGTTGTCGTTGCTGCTGCTGCTGCTGCTGCTGCTTCTTTCCTTCAATTCTCGTTCTTTCGTTACTTCAATCATCACTTCACTCTCTGTATGTGGATGGGATGTAGAAAATGTTGTATTTTTGTGTGATTTTGCCCGTTTCTCCATTACATAAAACCGTAGTAAATGCTAGAATCTTTCTCGCATTCAGCAAAGGCAACAGCAACAACAATAAACGCGACGTGTTCTTCTCTCTCCCTTCTTTCAATGTTCTCTCATTGCTCGTAATGGTGTAGCACATTGAACGTGTATCTCTCACTCGTATCCATGGTGTATAGTCAGAACCAAAGCCAAAAGCAAGACGGTCACGTCGTTGTTGTGTGCGTTTTATGCTCACACACATACAGCATACAGGCGCGCATTCATCGTCAGGCACACGTTCATCGTGTGTCGCATACAGGCGAAGAGAGCGCAAGTAACTGTCGTTGTGTGTGTGTGTATTTTGTTTGTATGCGTGTATGAGAGTGTTCTTCTTAAAATCCCTTTTTCGTTTTCCTTTTTGAGTGTACTAAGCGGTCAAAAAGGGATTTTCCATTTTGCTTCATTTCTCAAGCGAATCCGAAACCATCACACTTTTTCACTTCACATCTCTCTTGCTATCTCCCTGCTGTGTGTGTGTTTTTTTTTTAAATTTATTTTCGGTGGGCTTGAATTACGATTTACAGCAAATTTACCTAAACGATTAAAACAAACGCTGAATGGAATAAGACCTAATCATTTTTCGTAGAATTGGTTACTTGAATAGCAAATGTACAAATCAACTTATTTAAAGAGCAATTTTTTCCCTCTCTTCGCTTCTCACTCTCTCTCTCTCTATGTGCATACGCATTACTTGTTATGACAAATGGAATATCACAGCACAGCGAAACGAAGTAGATGTGGAAAAGAAGAAGAAGAAGAAGCAAAAGAAATGAAATAACGAGCGAGAGGAAGAGAGCCAGATGCTTATTTATTTTTGTTCATTAATTACAGTGCAAGTGCTTAATACCTTTCATACAAGCTGAACAAAAGAAAACAAAACAACAAAAAGCTGCAGGACAACGGAGAGAGAAAACTTTTACTCAGTGTGTTTGTTCAGAAAATTAATTAAAGTGAATAATTTAATGGCCATTTAAAACTGGAGACACACAAGTGACCAGCCACATTTTATATATAGTTTATTCAACGCCTTTTGGATTACTAACGAATTAAAAAAAATAATAATATCGAAAGCGGAATACAGAAAAGAAGAAGCGAAAAAGAAGAAGAAGAAGAAGAAGTGTTGTTATTTGGAAACGAAAATTTGTTACGTAGAAATCAACATGAAATAGTTTTGAACAGTGGAAACATGAATAAAAAATAGAATGGGCCATTGCAATGGTTGCATGGTAGAATGAGAGAAAAACCACCGATTTGTAGATTTGTTTTTGTTTTTCCATTAATAATCAATTGGATTAACTGAGGATTATATGCAAAAGCCAGCGTAACCACCAGCATCATCATCATCATAGTTCATCTGGCATACATATCGTGTGCATATATATGCAACCAAATCAAAACTATTATTATTCTATCGCATCGTCAATGCATGTTATTTTAACCAAAAAAACTGAATAAAACGATCGGATCAAAGGGACAAAACCATTCCGACGCAACCAAACCGAACCGAACCGAACAAAATCCAAAACAAGAATAAAAAAAATACATGACTGAGATAAACATATATATGTACATTGAACAGTGTAAAATTCAAACTATTATTTGGGATTACTACTTGTGAATATTCATAAACACACAGCGAACGCGGAGAAATATTCTAGTTCCCGACTTTATTCATCTTCATATTTATATTGTAAGTATTTTTATTTCCTCTATACATGTATCTATGCATATTTTGTATGCCTTTTTGGTTAAGCTATTTTCACACTATCCATTTTCCCAAGTCGATTTTATATCTTCATTGTGGCCCGCACACTTGACTGACGCGAGCGCTTCGCGTTTGCCCAAGTGCAGAGCGCCGAGCTGAATGAGATGTGTACTGGGAACTGGAGGAATGAAGAGAAAAAAAAACCAACTATAGATAGATAGATAGATAGATAGACAGACAGACAAAAATCAACTTATGAACATACTTCACTGGACAGATTATTTGAATGAATGTCTGCAAATAGCAAGTTGACTTGCACACACGTTTCGCTCCAGTATATTTTTACAACTGAAATGATACCACTGGAATTGACTATAGATTAGATTTTATATGTGCGGCAATGAAGATGATGATGATGGCAATGGCAAAGCTCGAATTGCATGTGCCGTTTTGCACCAAGTGATTCTTGTACTCTTTTGTGCGGTGTCTATTACTGCCATCGGTGGTTCTTTTTTCCATGCATTTCTTTTGTGTTTGCCTTTCCATCTTTCGTTTTATGTTGTCTCTTCTTCTGGCATTCTTTCTTCCCTCAATTCAATGCGTCGCATTCTAGTTTTTTTTTCGTTTCGTTTCGTTCTCGTCTCATTCTCATTTCTTTTTAATATCGATCTTTTTATGCTATCGATAAAATTGTAAATTAAAAGAATCTCAGCTGCACAATTTCAAAACAGAAATAAAAACAACGAAGCAACACAACACGAGCGATCGCAATTATCCATTGGATCAATCTTAATTTAATAATGTGTGAAACAACACCAAACCAAATCATGATAATTAGTGTGACCTAATTGCAGCAAATATTCTCTATGCTTGGCCATGCACTGCTGCTGATGCTCATGCTGCTGCTGTTGCGGCTATTCGTTTTAATGCGATTTGTTAATGTCATGGATGTCAGTGCGCGCGCGGGGCCATTCGTAAACAAATTGCCCCCAAAAAAAATATATATATATACACACACACACACACAAACAGAGAGAGAGAGAGAGAGAGAGAGAGAGAGAGAATATGGGCTAACGTAAGCGAAACAGAAAAACGATTTAGCATAAGATAATCACATTGAATTATCTCACAGCATAATCAATGTTGATGATGATGACGATGGCGAGATATATATATGAACAGTAGCCAAAAAGTAAAATAACGTTCAAAAAAGCAATTGAAATACTAGAAAATGGTCTTAACGCGCTCCATTTCGTTCGACAAAAGAAATTTTCATTCATGGGCAGCGTTTCTCTCTCGCGCTCTCTCTCTCTCTCTCTTGGTGATGATGGCAAACAGGGAACCAAGCACTATCAGCCACACTCTTTGTGTTTTACTCGCAAACAGACTCAGTGTTGTGCGTATGGATGAGAATGGCTTCGGTTTGGCTTGTTGATGATGTTATTTGGCGATACAATTTGCAAGACACTATTACAATGACTATGCGGATCTCCTCGAAATAGCATGGAAATGAATGTTTTCACTGAATTGGAAAAACAGATCCATCCACGGCATTTTTCTTTCTTTCTTTCTTTCTGTTTCGTTTGTTTTGACTCCGAAACTTTTGGGGCGAATTAATGGAAAGATTTTTGTGTGTGCGTACTTTTATTCGAATGGAAAAAAAGAGAGACAGACAACAGAAATGAGTGGATTTGGAGTTTTTAATAAATGACACTTTGAATAGCGGGCTTTTTTTCATTCGGTGTCACGTCATTCATTCCGTGCTCTTTATAGAAGAAAGTTTGTGGTTTTATTGAACTTCATTAAAGTGAAAAGTGCATTCATTTAGCATCAGTTCGGATTCGAATAATCCCATTCCAAAAAAATCGAGCTCTGTTTATCTACAACAGACAGAGTCATTCATTTCATCTATTGTTTTCTTAGCCTTTTATCTGTTGCACGTGTGCTTTGCATATTTGTCGGTCCTGTTTTTTTTTTCTCGTCTTGTCGTCGTATTTGTATTTTGCCTTGTATTTAGAAATTAATGTTGAAAGCCGAACGATTGAAAGACGGCAAAGCACATCGAAGAATTGATCGGAAAACAAACAAAAGAGCGGAACAAATAGAACCTTGACATTGCCTTTATTCGATGGTCAAAAGAAAATGTTAACGGCTAACATCATTTGTACGCCTCTGTAAAAACTGAATTGGTTTTCCGTTTTATTCTTTCGACCAAACTTTCTCCATTCCCTTTTGCCGTCCTTTTTCGTTGTTTTCCCTGTGGAAACAGTGCAGAAAGGTTCTCTGTCGCTTTCTTTCGAACAAACAAACGAATGCCATACGATAAAATTTCAAAATTCTTGTCTAAATTGTTTTATTACGGTCTGCAAGTGTTTGCTTTTCCATTTCTTGCTTGCTTGTTCATTCCGTTCTCTTCCATTTTCTTTGGATTCGGTTTAAATGTGCTCTCCGGTTGCAAACATTGATCTGAATTCATCACGAAATAATCCAGAAAATATTGTATGCGTAAACATTAAAACGGAGGAGAAAAAGAGTGAGGAATAACCAAAAGAAATAGTCGTTAATTAATTGTCCGCAGTGACACACACACACACAGACACACCAAGACACATACGCATCGACACACGCATACGCACGTACTCACGCTCGAACGCGACTTGAGACTCTTAGCGGATAAAAATAATAAATTACTAGAAGCATTGATGAAAGCTGGGGATTTAAAATGGAAGTTGACCCGAGTCAAAGTAAACACGTCACCGAACGAGAGTACGATATCGCACAAGATGTATACGCGTATAAATCATAAATTCAACGCGTTTCTCTCTCTCTCTCTCTCTCTCTCTCATGTGCTCGTTCTTTCAATTTTTATTTCTTCTGCTCATTTTTTTTTGCTTGAGCGCGCGCGCGATCTTTGTTCACGTTTAGCGCGGTTTCAGTTCGTGTTTTGTTTGACTTACGCTTATCATGGTCATATGATCGCTGTTGTTGAAGTGTTTCGGCATAATTTTTTTTTTTGGCTATCCGATTTTTTCATTTGATTCACACACTAACGCACACACAACCGCAAAAACAATCACTCTTACACACACACTCCAATCCAATCCGTCTCAATTATACGCTTCATTCGCTGTGATTGTTATTGACGCCATAATTCTTCATTCAAATACTATTCTGTTTCACAAACTCGCTCGCTCGTTTCGTCCGTTTCTATTCACACACTAGGTCTCTTTCGCTCTGACGCATTTAAGCTTATACATCGTTGAGGTTCGTTGTATCCGTGCGCGCGCATTTTGTTTGATTATCTGAATATCGGAGCGTGGAATGTCATTTAAATGAAAAATTGAAATTGAATAGTGCGAAGGCAACGGCGGGATGTGTTCGGAAACATTTAATTCACACTCAGTCCAGGGAGTTCAAATATAGTGGTGCCATTGCCGCTGTTGCTGTTGTTTTTGTTGTTTCGGCTGCTCACTCTGTTCCTCGTCTTACGTACATCTTTCTGTATTCATTCTTCACCGCTTTTTCGGCATTATCAGTTGTACAAGGCGTATTATTCATTTGCTGTTTAGTGTTTTTCATGTGTACAAACATATTTCTCTTTGTTTCTACATTTTGGTATTCGATTCGTCTGCTATTGCTCTTCTTCTTCCCATTGTTGTTGTTGTTAGTGGTTTGTGTTTTTTTGTTTGTTATTTTGTGTGTACGTTTCGTCTCTGCTTATTTTTGTTGTTGTTGTTTGAGCAAATATTAAATGATCCGGTGCGTTTTCACACATCTAAACAATAGATTGTATTAATGATATGGTGTTAAATCCATTCGTTTGTTCAGCTTGAGTTAATTGTACGCAAGCTCCATATACAATGGATTGAATCAAAGAAGCGGTCGGCAATTTAATCCATGCAAATTGCGATCAAATAGCGTAACGTGAATCAAGCCAAAATGAATAAATGCCATTCGGTGTGGAGAAGAAGAATGAATACGAGATTTAAAAAAAAAAGCGAGCGCCGTGCGCGCACGCTCGAAAACACATACCGATTTTTTTTTAATAAAATCACTTTTTTTCACTGGAATAAAAGATGAATCGCAGAGTCAGCATGATATCTTTGGTGTCGGTTTCATGTCGATTGAATCGAATTTTCAATTTGCATCGAATCATAAACTTTTATCCAAAATCTATCCAACCAAACGAACGAACGAACGAACGATGGAAAAGAAAAACGCTATACTAGTGAGAATGAAGGAAAAAGCGTAGAAGAAGAAGAGCGGACGCAGAATGGAATGTTGGTGCTGTGCCAGCCACTCATTTTCCAATGTGGAAAAGAAGGAAATGCCAAAACAAAAACCAAATGCGGACAAAATGTCTCGTTGATTCGCTTGTGAAATTGCTCAATTATATGTCACACACACACACACACGATCCGCCTGTCGTTCGCTCTCTCATACTGTGAGAGCCATTCGCCATATTATTACCGTAATGTCGCATTTCATCCATAACAAAATCGGTGCTAATCGAAAATGGAACTCCAAATCATCGCAGATAAATATCGAAGCGTATTCATATAATTGGGATAAATATTCGACACAGAGTGATGCTCGAGTGCGTTGCGTGCGCTTCGGCCATTCAATCGTCAATATGTCTGTTATTAAAACGAGTGATTCAATAATAGATTATCCAAAATGTTGAAATAGTTAATTTTGACTTGAGATTGATTATCGTACGTGCTGTAGTAGCAGCAGCAGCAGCAACAGCAGTGCCGACACAAATGTGAGCCGTATCGTAAACACTCCCAATTGTAACACAGTCCAAATTGTAAACTATTTGGAAAAAAATACGATTTTAACTTCGATACGAATTTTGAATGTGGCACATTATACATATATTCGGAAAAAGCACGAAAAAATCAGCCTATGCAGAATAATAATCAAACACAAAAAATTATTTTGTCTAAATTCATTTATCCATTTTGAAAACAGCATCTAAATTT